GTGTGTGTGTGTGTGTGTGAATGTGTATGTATGTGAGTATATAAGAGTGTGTGGGCGCAACAAGCATTCATGTGCAGGCACTTGTGTGTTTGAGTGTTTGTATTGTGTGCATTTGGATGTATCTGTGCTTGCATCATGTATGAAACATTTCAGTTTAGTTTGAAAAAAATAAAAAACAAGTATCCTTTTACTCACAAGGGCCAGTGACTCTGGCAACAGTCGCATGAAACACTACCATCTTTCAGAGAAGACAAAATAGTGAAATGTTTAGCTCCTACATCCAAAGGCTTTTTTCGTTTTAGTACGAGTTTTACGGCACTTGCAACACAATAAGGTCATATAAGTGCCGAAGAATAGATGAGGTACGAGAGAGAAACGTACACAAAAAAGAGGAGAGATAAGGACGAGTATAGATTTAGACCTTCTAATTTTCTGCATCTCTCAAGATTTATTGCTCCATTCCAGTAGAGTGTAAATATAGTAGTAGGTCAATGACTTTCGGTTGATGTCATGCACTGATCATTCCTTTCATCGAAAGGGGGCCCAGCTAGTATACCATAATTCCACTCCTTTAGTCTGTATGTACCTAACATTTCATCAACATGTATACACACATACACATACACACACACACACACACACACATACATACTAAAACTGGCAAAACAAAGAGGATGACTTATTGAAATGTAGACATGGCTTGCAAAAAAACCCAAATAACCAACAAGACAAACATTAAAAAACTCAAATAAAACAAAGACATCAATATATAAATATACTGAACCACACAAATGTCCGACATTGAATTTGAGAGATCCTGCTGGCACACACACTGACTTCACATTGGACGCCAAACCTCACAACAATTCTGAACACTGCCCACCTTTGGGGTCATAATTTTATCTAACCCTGGCTTACAATTTCCACTTTCACACCCAGCCCCCACTTTCACCGTCCATACATTCTTATTAAGTAGGACATCGCTGAAGTTCAAACGCAAACAGACT